CAAAGCCAGCCAGCATCACCTGTCCCTGGGCAAAGCCCACCTCCAGCCCCCTTCCCCACCGAGCCTCATCCACGGCCCTGCTGAGATGCTGGTCCCCTCCCCATCCCCATCACCTGCTGCAGCCACCCAGCCCGTGCTACTCACTGCATCGTTCATCCCATCGGACACCCCAATGGTGATGGTGAGCCTGGCCTGGAGCTGAGGGGACACAAGGCAGGACATGGTCAAGGCCAGGTAGAGCTTGATCCTTGCATGGCTGAGCCCCAACACCCTCCCACCCACCTCTTCTGGGTGGGATACTCCTCCCAGACATCTCTCCCCCCCAGAGCAGGGCTTTGGGGCCAGGGAGTGACCCGCAGTAGCACCATGAGCAGCTCTGCCACAGGACTCATGGCTCTGCCCTCCATCCCCATCACCCCAGACCCCCCAGCTCAGGCAGGGACATCTGCACCCATCTCTGTCCTCACCTCGCGGTCCAGCGAGTTCCTGAGCGTCACACTGCCTGTCTGGGCATCGACAGAGAAGTAGAAGGCCTCCGGCCCACTGATGCTGTAGGTGAGCGGGTCCCCGTCTATGTCAAAGGCTGTCAGCTGGAAAGCTTGCTGGCCTGGGGGTACAGGCAGCGTCAGCCTCTGTCTGAGGACCCCCCGGCTACTCCTCCTGCACCCCAGGGCCTCCCCGAGACTGCCCCACTCACCCAAATCGAGATCCTCAGGCACATAGACGACGGTCATGTTGAAAAAGGGGGCTGTGTTGCCTGAAACTACAAGGAGAAGGTGTGCTGAGCACCCCCTCTGCACCCTGCACCCCTGCACCCAACGGCACCTACCTGGCTCCAGCCACAGCTCCTGGCCATGGTTTGGGTCTCCAGGGGAGGCAGGGGAACCCACCACGCCTCACATTCCTCGTGCTTATCCCACACCTCCCACCTCCAGACCACGCTTCTCCTCCAGCTGCAGCACCCATGCTGAACGCTACCCCCACTGCCCAGCCCCCTGCCCGCTCTGCCTCGCCCTGTGTTGACACTGGGTCTCCAAGGTGCCAACGGGATGGACAGCTGTTTTGGGGGGCCCAGCTGCCCTCAGGGAATGTGGAACAAGTGTTGGGGGCTGAAAGCTCCTCCAACACCTCCTGTCAACCTGTGCCAGCTGCTGAGCAAAGTCCTCACCTGCTGCCAGGAGGAAGGGGAGCAGCACCAGCGAGCGCCATGCCATCCTGCCAGCAAGCCTGTGGGGGGACACACCAGAGAACAAGAGCCTGGGGCTGATGGCTACCTGCTCTCACCAGCCACCCCAAATCCCTCCAGGGGAGCAACCAGTGGGGCAGGAGGGGCTTGGGTGGGGACAGTCCCCTCTGCTGAGCTGGGCTGATGAGGAAGCACCAGGCTCAACGCAACACCCCCAGGCATGGGCTCCTTGGGGACCTGGCATGGGGGGACAGGGTTGGCCTCCAGGTGCTGGAGACCGTGGGGGTGCTTGGGGAACCTAGAAGCCTCTCCTGGGCACGGCTGGAGGCTCCATCACTCGAGCTTAATGGGGCCACCCCAAGTAACACTTGGAGCCCAAGAGCAATGCGTGACACAACCGTGGTGTCCCCCTCCTTGTGCCACAGCCTGTGGGCAGCCCCACAGCTGATGCGGCGGATGCTGCTGGGCGGGCTGCTCTGCGCTCGCACCCTGACACCATGAGAGACCTTTGCCTCCTGCAGTAAACACGTTCATCAATTATTAACTGCAATTAAGCTGTGAGAAATCCCTCTCTTATCTTCCTAATTCCTTGTGTTCATCCCCTAGCTCTCACCTAGCCCAGTCCCATGCTCCCCAACCCCAGGCCCCCAGGTCCCCACATTGGGTGCCATCTCCAAGGATTCAGCCACCCCAACCTGCACCCATGGGACTCCAGCTCCCAGGAGGGATGGCGAGCCTGCAGGGATGCAGAGGGGAGGGATCCTGAGC